TTGTCAACCAGTCTTGGATATTTTTTTTGTCCATGCATTGTTGGGCACTTTGTTCAATATCATGCTGTGATAAGGGGCGTTATCCAGTATAATCATAGATGGACTCTCCAATTTTTCTAATAACTGATGTTGAAACCATTTCAAAAAATTGTCCTGGTTCATCTCTCCATGGTAATCGCTCAATTTTGTTTTCGAAGAAAATATCGCTTCACTACCCTCAATAAACCCATTTTCATTTCCAGCATGTAATATAATGTATCTAAAATATATTAGTTTTAAATTTTATAGTGCAAATTGTGTAAAAGTACATACCTTTTACCATCTGTTTTAATAGCTTTCACGCGTTTTTGGTTTCCATTTTGCCAAGAGCGACCTATGGTCCCATTTTGAAATATCCAAGTTTCATCGAGGAAGACAAACTGGTATAAGGCCTCAACCTTGGCTTGATTGTATTGCCTTAGAAATTCCACCCTTTTCAAAGCTATACTTGGTAGTTCCATGAGCCCTCGTCGCGGATTCTCCTTAAGCCACTTAAATCCAAGATCTCTAAGCAACCGCCTTAAAGACGTGGCACTACCATCAAATAATGCCCTATCTCTTAATCGAGACCATAAAGTTTGTATCGTAACTTGTTCTTCTGAAACCATGTGTAATATGACATTATAATTTAGTTAACAAATTAATGAAAATTTCTGATAAGTTATTATAATAAGATCTTACTTTTGTGATACATATTATAGATCACTTCTCGAATGGCACTTGTATCCAATGTCGCTGTGTTGGTTACACGTTTAATATAACTCCGCTTTTTCTTGGGCGATTCTAAATTTGCATCACTTTTCACACCCTCGGAAATACGACTAACTGTCCTTAAACTAATTTTTAAAGCAGCAGCAACACGCTACAAAAAATGAAATAAAATTTCACTATTATTAATATACATTACATATAATTATTAGTAACCTACCTCTTGAACAGCATTTAAAGGCAACAAAGGCCCGTTGTTGTCCCTTTCTTGCTCAAAGTAGTGCATTAACGAGGCCACGAGTTCCTTACACCGACTATTTAACTGTTTGGGCATCTTTATATACCAAAATTGCCTTTATCTACTCGTAAAATGAGTAATTTTGTTTTGAAACAAACAGTTGTTGATTTACAGTATGCGGGGCCAAAGGATTTATAAAGATTTGAAATGCCACAAATTGATTCAGTGTCAAAATTAATACAAATGTCAGTTCCCAGTTTAAATAAGTTTCAAGGTGACAATGTGTCAACGCTGCGAAATCGGTTTAGTGCGTTTACATGTCGATAAGTGATTGGAGCGTTTGCAAAACATTTTATTTCGCATAATGCGTCTAAATTTATCAGAAAGCAACTTATGTGATATTTTAATAACAATGTTTATATGACTATTAACCATAATAAGAGAGTAATGACCATTTTACAATTTATATATCACATTAACATGAAACTGCAATAGAGCAATTGTTTGTGATAGAAACCTAGGCATTAGGTCGGGGAATTTTTATCGTGATGACGTGCACGCCACTTTGTTTGGCGTTGACTATACCTCTGCTATTTCGCTAGAATGTTATATAAAAAAGATGCTTTGAAGAGTGAGAGATATCAAGGGAGATATATAAAATTTGAGGCGTAGCAATGTTTGCCAAAAAACTAAAAAAAAGTTGTTATTTACATTTTGCGTCACCTGGCGTCTATGCGGCTGAACGTTAATGTCTCTGAACTCTCTTATAAACGCCCAGTTTTATAGGATAAAATACTTTTTGAATACACAACAATTTGAAGAGGAAAACATTTTTTTTATTATATAAATATATTTATTAAGTATTTAATCTAAAATTACATGATCATTAATAGGAGAAGTACGATTTTCATTGCTAAGATTAATTGAATCAGCTAAAGAAAAATCAAGTCGTTCCACAATTCTGGCTTTATTTGTACAATCGAAAATCGCCAGCATGCCACAGTTATTAATCTAAAAAAAAAATAGCATTGAAGTAACGGTTTATACGAGGGTCATTTTTTAAGTAAGAACCGTTTTGTAATCCAGTCAGAGAAATTTTATTTATGAATGTAAATTGCATCACAAACAATATGAATTTTTTTTCATTTTTCAACATAGCCACCATTAACATTCAAATACAAGTCAAGTGATGGCACCAGTTTTTATGTTAATGTAGCATCTGAAACTTATTCTGCGGTTTTCATGACGACTATTTCCCTCGTCTCAATTTCTACCAATCACAAACGCGGAATTCTGAATTACAGATGGTTTCTAATGGTTTCTAGATGAAAAAATAGTATGACAGTACCTGGCAGAGATTTTTCCAGTTAAACTGCGACAAAATTTGACAGCTGTTGTCACCAAAAATTACAATACCTTTGATAACAAGTAATTATGGCCTTCTAGGACAGCAGAAAACGCCGCTAAGCTAAATTTTGTAATATTGTTTTTAAGCAGTGCTAGTCAGCTTATGTAGTGAAAATGAGTCGCTTTGGAAGTGATTCTTTGAGTAATATTGATCTGGCGATTGAGATACACCTCAGTATATGACTAATCTCTCAGTGTATGCAATATGCTCATTTTATTTAAAAAAAAACATAAGATGTTAACCCTATCACACAACTAGATGAGTATCCAAGGCTCACCTAGTTTGCTGCCCAGATATCCTGTTTCCTTCAGAAGAGTTGGAGGTAGACCTAATTACCACTTTGGAGATTGTTGACACCCACGTCACAACACTAAAACACCAAAGCAATACTGAGAGACAATCGAGAACCCTATAGTGAACACCACTACTGAAAAAAGTAGCTAAACCGAATAGAGCTCTGCACGGAGCTGTGAACGCCTAGACATTTTGTTGCGCCGACGGTTGCCGAGAGACTGAAGCGTGTGAGTGCTGTACCTCGCTGCGGCGATACGGTACGGCCGGGTAGTACAGCCACGCCCATTTCCATCTCTCACACCGCGCGTCTGCTACCGGTCAACGTAAATATCGAGTCGCTTCGGGAGCTCTATTCGGTTTAGCTACTTGTTTCAGTAGTGGTGTTCACTATAGGTTCTTAGATTGTCTCTCAGTGGTGACTTGGTGGTTTGCTGTTGTGACGTAGGTGTCCAGTGTCTCCAAAGTGGTAATTAGGTCTACTTCTAACTCTTCTGAGGGAAACAGCATATCTGTACAGGAAACTCGGTGAGCCTTGCATACTCATCTACTTGTGTGTAAGGGTTGCCATCCTATGTTTTTTAAATAAATTGCGCACATTGCATGCACTGAGAAATTAGTCGTATACTGAGGTATTTGGTAAAAACTAAAATTTGGCCAATCGTTTCTATTTTTGTCTGACTTTATTTTAACAAAATGTCAAAAAAACTAATGGCACTATTTAGGCACTACATGATGGGTTTTTTTAAAAAAATGCTACACTGTATCTAATATCAGCTTTTCCTACTAGTTAAACGATGTATCACGTTACATTTGTTTTTTAGTTATAAACAAACGTGTTTTTTCTACTTTTTCATTATATTTAAGTAGGCGTTGCAAACAAATGCATGAGGTAAGTTTGTGTGATTACTGAGTTTAACTTAGTCTGATCCTAATCTTGGTCACCCCGTAATACATTACTATAAAAAGAAATTTACATAAACGTGCACTAATCTAACGTTCTTGTAAGTATTCTTATGTACTTACATTCATTACTGAAAAATCTCGAAACTATTAGCAAGGCCTCGAACAAAAGGTCCAAGGAATTGGAGATAGCAGAGGTAGCAAAATCGTCCGATGAGCTGGCAACGCCAGGTAACAAGAATGACAACGTATGTCTATCCTGGGGCAACGACGGAGTCATTTAGAACATCAATGCGGCAGTTTTCCAATCTTCATTTGCATATTTTTAAGTGTTGTGCAACGATTTTGAGAGTAGAGTATATTTCAATAGTTGTCTTGCGTTGCCATGTCATCTTTACTCGGGCCTCTGAATTAAAAATACCGATGGTTTTTTGTGCAATGTACAGATATATCAATAAAAATCAAGCATTTGATATGAAAAATTCGGTTCCTATATATTCGATGACCTTATCCCTCGTCAATTAAAATCAGGTGGACGTGTTTCTCCATTTATGATTTAATAATTTAACTCATTTTTCGGCACCGCGAAGACAAATCTTCAATTGACATGTCTGTTTTTCAAATGACATTGACATAAGACCTGTCACCCGCTAGTACCTCACAGACGTCAGGCGGTTACCCGTACCACGTGATTTTTTGACATTTGGATGACGTCACATCCGTCTTCCCATATTTCCGTTCTTCGCGAAAATTTGAGTGTCGGTTCGCTGTAGTGCGCTGTGCTAAACCGTGAACTCGCCAAAAAAAATGCTTGATAACTCGAGATCGAGAACGCCGCAGTCAGACGTACACAGCACATGAAGGTTGCCATTGTCCCGACCGGCCTCATGTCCCTGCTGTAAATATTTTTCGGAGTTAGAAGGTCAAATGTACAGGGAAATCTGTGAGGAGTGAGATATGTAGATACTAATACGTGCGTAAAATTACCAGGGCTAGAAGCATATAAATATACTGCCGTCAAGAAAATGAGGAAAACTGCATAAAACCAAGACTGTAGAACTCAGAAAGTACAAACATGACGGTTTCTCAGAACTAGGATGGCTGAATATGAGACAATTATATACTTTCAGCATGCTCACATCTCACATATACTCACAAACTGATAGCACGCAGATATATATGTTACTGGACAATTACTCGATTTTAGGATAAACTAGTTTTTCCTAGACCAAATCAGTTTATTCTAAGAGCGATAGAATGAGCTAGTTTATCCTGAAATATATCAATTATGCTTAGGAAAAACTGATGTGTCCTGGTCTAAACTATTTCGGACCGAGATTTACCTACTACAGGTAATTGTTTATTTTGTTGCGGTTTTTTTTATTTTATTCAAATTAAATATTTTCGTTTCAGAAATGAATTTGATATCTGTGCACAAAAGTTTTTATTGGGAGAAGAAGTGAACAAAAACATTGAACTTTCGCTAAGAACCGCAGCGATCAAACATTCAGATAACGTTCTCTGCAACTCGAAATGCCACAATAGTAGCAAGTAAATAATAAAAGTTATTAAAGATGTTTGTAATGATAGTATTCTCTTCAATTAGTAGTAAAAGCATTACCTTTGTGAAGAGACTGTATGGAGATTAGGACAAATCAGTTTTTCCTAATCATGCTTAATTGATTTCAGGACACATAGTTTAGACTAGGTTACTCTAGTTCATCCTATCGTTCTTCGGATACACTGACTTGACCTAGGAAAAACTAGTTTATCCTAAAATCGGGCTTGACTGGTAACATATACATTCCCCAAATATAAGATATAATAACACCTTAACAATGCCAGACCCCAAGATTGCTTTCTTTCAGAATAGTTTTACATACAATCTCGTTGAGTTGTATAGCTATGCGTCATTGTCAGATAATAGATTTAAACCAGAAGTTAAGATATATATTGTTGAGCCATGAAAATGCTGGCATAAATTAATACTATTTTGTGAGGTGTACTTATTGTTTACATCTGTATTTTATCCTGTTAGTGTTTCATTTATTTATGAATTTTCCCTATAAACATTCCTTATTTTATCCAGTTTGTGTGAAAAACGACTGTCTTTCAAAATGTTTTAACTTTATGCCTTTTATTTTAATTGTTACACTGATAGTTACAAATTGTAAATTTTAGTATTTTGAAAGGATTAGGTGGAAGAATAACCTTTAGCTAAACTTCGCCCTAATAAAGAGCTATTATTATAAAAATGAGATAGTTTGAGCGATTTTAATTTTTTTCGTTATTTGCTTTCTACGTCGCCGCCACTGGACCTACTTGTTTTTCTTCGTGTACATGTAATATAATATCCAAAAAACATATCTCATTTCCGAAACTTTTCGATATTATAATACTTCCTCGATAGAAGGCGTCGGAAGTAAGAACGGAGTCAAGTAGGTTGACGTATACCAGCTTTACACAGAGATTCTAGCGCAACTCGGACAGGAAAGTATAGAGTAGATCCAGGAATCATCTACTCCTACTCGATCTATCGGAGTTTCATATATACAGGCTATTTCTTAATGATGTGCTAATACTCCAGGACATAATTACTGAAATAATGTTAAGAAAAGTTCTTCTGAACATATGTCCGCAGTGGCTTAAATTTTTAGCTATAGAGTGTTGATTTTTTGATAAAAACATTGTTTTTTGTTTGGCACGTTATAAGAGAATATAAAATGCCATATTTTATTGCTCCGGCAATGGCGCCCATGTAAATATGTCCAGTAATTCTTTCCAAGTATATTGTTACGCCACTGATCTTTTTAAAGTGAATTTGTCTACTTAGCTTGATCAATTCTATACGGAACTCCTCTCTTACTATTTTTCCTAAGGTCCATCGTTTTCGATCAAAACAACAAAATGACACTTTTGAATAATAATTTTTGAAAGTGAACCTAGTTAGCTAATGGAGCTAATATATTTGCGAAAACGCGACTGGTAGCACAAAGCAATGACAAATTATATTAAGATATGGCATTTGACATCCGCTTATAACATGCTGGAATTTAAAATAATATTTAAATAACATTTGAAAATTAAAAAATTCTTCATAATTCTAGACCCTTTACATGATACCTCGTCGTCAGGGTACCCTGTATAACGTTTCTTAGGGCTAAATTAGTCAACTATGTCTGTTGAAATGACCTTTTTGTTTAAATATTCTGTATTGCAGAAGTCATGTCTTGATCTGCAAGTTCTAAACATAAATATACAGATATTACGGTACCAATGTTATTAGAGCTGTAAAAACAAAACTTACACTTAGCTAGTAAAGCCGTTAAAGCACATGGAAATATACACATTACAAAGCAAACTGATGTATTGTTCGTCCTCGTTTTTACACAAATATTTATGTTTGCACTTTATTGGAAGTCTGACATGACGCTCGCAATGTTTTACTATATTACAGAGAGTAAAATGACTTTATGAATATCAAACAGGATTGCGCTCTTTTTGACAGTCGTTTTTTCACACCGAAGCAGCCGCTAGGCAAACGCCTAAGTAACAGGGCATCGCAGATTTTGGACTACAAAAGTTAGTAGAACACGGACTATTAAAACTGGATCGAGGAAGGTGTTATTAACTTTGTTCCAAATTGATGCAAATAGATATTTGTAACATAACCTCAAAATAGAGTGCCTTTTTGAAGGACATGAAAAACTATGAAAATCAAGGAGACCATAAACGCGTCCTACAATTTATTGTAGGACCGACTGATGATACGGCCCTAAGAAAACAGATTAGGCTGGCTGGTGTACTGTAGAAGCTCCCGTATAAATTACAAGTGGTCTATGCACAAATATATCAGCGCGACACAAGTCAAACAAGCTGGCATAACTTTAGCAAAACAAAAATACATGCAGTCAGTTATCTAGGCTCGCGACTGTTTGCTGCTGGACAAGCTTATGTAGCACTTTGACGTGTAAGATCTTTAGACGGTGTTGGGATTGAAGAACTTAATTGCTCGAAGTTAACAGGAAAAACGCCATGCAACAGTGAAGCTTTAAATTAAATGATTAGATTACGAAATGATTCGTGTGACATTTCAATACCACATGTCCACAAAAACCTAATTGAAAATCGAACTAAAAAATGAAAATAAATAATAGTTTAAAAAAACTAAAAAAACACGCTTTTATAGCTAACCGAACTAAAAAATAGAAAATAATTTTTAATTACAAAGAGTTTATATTACAGTAATAGATGGTAGAACAATCAATCATAATTAATTGCCTCAAAATAAAATTGTAATAAAATTTAAGTTATTAACAGAATAAGAGATGGGTGCACTTTACTACATTTTCATAACTCTCCTCTAATAGAGAGTTGCTAATAGAATGATTTAACATTTAGTATATCAAGCACCCTACGCTTTTTACTCTGAATTGAATTATTCTGCTAATAACTTAAATTTTATTATAATTTTATTTTGAGGTCATCAATTATGATTTATTGTTCGACCACCTACTACTGCAATATAAACTCTTCGTAATTAAAAATTATTTTCTACATTTTAGTTCGTTTAGCCATAAAAGCGTGTTTTTAGTTTTTTAAACTATTATTTATTTCTATAGTCAGTATAATTATTGTATTAGTTATTTTTCGTTATTTATTTAGGTATATGATTAAATAATGTGCTTCAGGTCTTATATAAGATGAGGTTGTTTAGAATAATTGATTGTCAAAATGGGTAAACATATTTCTACACATTACAAAGAATGATTTATGATAATTTTGCAAACAAAAATAATACATACTCTCATTTCAAGGAGCATTTCTTTGATAACTTGAATTTACAAAAATAATGTAGAGTACGCCTGAGCAAGTGTAAATTGTAAGATTTTTATGGTTACATTCGCGATGTATAATAATATACCGATGGTATTGGATTTTGGTGCAATCTACGTATATAGTCTTCTCTCAAATTTTATCAATTTTCTGCGTAAATGAGTCATGAAAGTGGAATTACTTTTCTCTTTAACGAGTTGGTTCAGATTGAAGGATATTATACATACGCTTCTCCACTAAAACTTTGAGATCCCACTTGCCCGATATGAATATTTTTCCGCGACTGCATTGAATGATTTCGTGATAAATCGAAAAAAAAACTATGCGATGCTGTACGTCAATATTTTTACTTCCCGCGCTACTGGCGAGGAAAGTATTGTTCTCGCGAAAAATTTTGAATATGAGATATTACGTATTTTGGATATGCATATTGTCACGAATGGCATCTTTTTGTTACAGTTCGAATGAAATACTTCTCTCTTTTTCACAACCCCATTACCAGAAAAAAAGGTTGAAGATTGGAGGTTGCAGGTTGTAGGAGGTTGTAAATGTTCGATCCTTGACATCAGTGAAAAATGTTTTATTATCCAGCAATTCGTCACCTCGGTAGCATTAGCCATCGCTGTTAGACACCATACCGAATCTCACATTGGCATCTATACATGGTCATACGCAAGGAAATGAACATAGTGAAATGGTTAATAGCCTGGACTGAGGCCTTTTCGTATTTGAAAATGCGATATTCTAAATAATTTTTCTGCGGATTTTTCAAAACCTTGCAAATGATCGGACATTTATAAAAACGCAGACGCGTCTTTATATTTTTTCTATTTGATCACAATCAAAACCTTGTAAGCTGAATGAACAGTTTACTATGTACAAAGAACACATTGAACGGTGCTCACTTCTGGAAGCTTATATAAGACAAACATTTTCAAGCGTTTAATCACCTGATCCTTACAACCTAGTAACGTCCGAGAACTACTAAAAGAAAATTAATCCATGTTTACGCGGATAAACACAGGGTGTTTCAGAACTAAGGGATCAAACTTCTAGGGGTTAATCAGCGTAACAGTAGAAAACATTTGGGTATAGGGACCCATATCCGGAAAATTGTCACTACGGCACTACGGCCCTAAGACACGTTAAAATTTAGAAAGATGATGAATTGCCTAAATAGGATTTAATGCATGTAATTTTTACCTTTTGTTCATGATATCATCACAACAATTGTTCAAAATGTCTTCCTCCAACCTGAATATACCGATTTAAACGTCGCATATGATTTCGGCGGACTTGAATAAAAATTTGATACTCTGCTGCTGTAATTCATCCACTTTACATGTCACCTCAGGAAAAAATCTATCGACGTTAAATCGGGTGACCTAGGAGGCCAAGAAACTGCTCCACCTCTGGCAGTCCAACGGTGCCCAAACCGCTCAGCCAAATACTCACGTACTTGTACAGCAAAGTGAATTGGCGCTTCATCATGCTGAAACCACATTTGCGGTCGAACGTTCAATGGAACTTTTCAAGACGTTCTGGAAGGACTTCCTCCAAGAAACGCCGGTAAATAGGTCCTGCTAACCGTTCCGGTAGAAGGTATGGCCCAATCAAATGATCATCAACAATGCCTGCCCATAAGTTGACAGACCAACGTTGCTGATGTTTTCTAGGAAAAATTGTATGTGGATTTTCTTTGTCCCAAACGTGGGTATTCCTACTATTAAAAATACCGTCTCTTGTGAAAGATGCTTCATCGGTCCATAAAACATAGGTAAAAAATTTGGTTGTGGATCGATTTGATGAAGAAGCCATTGACAAAATTGAACTCTAGAATGATAATCGGCTGCAGTCAATCCTTGAACTTTCTAGAAGTGGTAAGGATAAAGTTGTTGCTCGTGTAGCATCCGCCAGACGGAAGCGTTACTCGTATTCATATCTTTAGCAAAAACAATCGCTGTTAAAGATAACAACACACAAACGCCGGATATGGGTCCCTGAACTCAAATGTTTTCTACTGTTACACTGAATAACCCCTACGAGTTTGATCCCACAGTTCTGAAACACCCTGTATTTTCAGTTCTAGGAAAATGCAGTCGATATCAAAACATTCGTATCCTGTCCGCTTCGAAAGTGAAACACCATCCATCTTTACCCCTCAGTTAATAGGCTACTAACGTATTAGAGGCTAAAAATCGCAGGCAGCCAATGTCAACATCGTAAAGTCACTGACTACCACACATAATTCACACCTTTACACCTGGATGTGGTTCGTATTTTACCAAAGAGACCTGTTTGTACGTATTGGTAATGCGAATAATTTGAATACGATATCAGGAAGATCTATAAGTAAGTCCACATGCGATGATATATTGAATATTTTGAAATGAAGAAGGAAAAAACATTTCCAAGTGTAAAGTTTGTTCATATAGCCGCAAGATGAGCTCGGTTATCTTTGATTATTTCATAAATAATGCGGTTTTGGCGAGAACAACATAGACTAAAGATTTTGGTGCAAGTTGAAATTTTCTGCTCATCTAGCTCGCTTCACTTTCGCAGCAACACGGATTCTAGGTTTTATAAGGCGTAACTGCTGATCTTTTTCCAAAGAATCAGCACTAAAGATTTATTTTTATTTCGCTGGTGCGACTAATACTTCGCCGTTGAAATACGTAAAGGTGTATCTCGAAATTCAGCGAAAATTTGATAGATACGCCAATGCACATATTTGAACGTGCATGAAGCCGTGAAAGAAGACGAATCTCAAAAACGCACTGTTCGCTAGATGTGACATAAGAAGTGAGGGTCGTTTCTCAAAGTTGAAAAAATAAATTAGGACGAGAAGGCGCTTCTCAAGATACGCCTTTAATACAAACCTTTGAAAAGCTGATCTCCGAGATACGTCTTATCAATTTGTTCTGTAATTCAGTGATTAAATTAAAAAAGCATATTTATAAAGCGTAACTCAATTTTTCCTGTTCGAATGTGTCTGGAAACCGATGATCGGGTCATCGCAGCAGAGAATCCAGAAAGCAATCAGTATTCATTCAATCTCAGCTCTTGTGAGGTGTACACATTTATGATGGAAAAGAAACCCTCTTTGTTCGCAGATGGCTGTGGCGGACAAAATAAGAACTCTATAGTTGCCGGAGCTCTTATGTATATTTTGTCTACACTTAAACACATACAGGAAATAAGTCTTCGATTTTTCATACCTAACCACGGGCAAGGTGAGGGGGACTCAGCACATAGTGCCACCTCTTACTCAATTAAAAAAGCGGGAGAACTTAGAGTGCCTTCTCAGCTTATACCAATTTTTCGCCTTGCGCGACGATCAAAACCTTTTTTAGTTGAAATTCAATAATTTCCTAGATTTCAAAGAAATTAGCGAGAACCTTAGAAGAATAAT